CGACATACTCGACGAAGCTTTGCACTGCCCCAGCTGATCACATTCACAGGACCTTTCTGGCCCTTGTCCACCATGTCCTTGTGGACTAGTCCGATCAGCATGCCGCCGGTGCTGCCCAAATCAGCGCGATTGGCCAGCGCTGCATCTGACCATGCCACTGCCACCACATCCTCGTCCTTCTCGGCATAGAGGTTGTGCATCTCCAAGGTCACATTCCTCTGGCCATAGAGCTCGCGGGTGAACTTGTTGATCTCTTTGAGGACCTCTCTCTCACCCTTCGGCAGGATCGACTGCAGGTGGCTGAGCTTTGCGGCATGATGGGGTGCCGTCTGGTAGACTCGCCATTGAGCTGATCCAAGCACAGCTCGGCATTGGCGTCGCTCGGACTCGGTGAGCTCCTTGGCGTGGCCATCCTCCTGGACCTGGTTGAGGGACTCGCAGAACTCCTTCTGGTCCAGGATCCATCCACCATCATTCTTTTGTGACAGGTGGACGCCACAGTGCATCATGGGCGCGCACTCCAAAGGTGACCATTTCAGGCTTTCATGGAACCGCTGCAGGAACTCAGACCATTTGGGATGCCCTTCATCTCCAGTCATGAGGAAGTCGTCGACGTGGGCTCCAACTAGGCCAATGGTGACCTGTTTCTGCAGCCGAGGGTCATAGTCCGTGAGGCGCCACAGACATGGTTCAGTGGTGAGGCGCTCCATGTTCAGCTTCTTCAACACTTCATCTACAAACAAGTAGAATTCACGAGGAGCGATGGTCAAGCCATAGGCAGCCTTGAGGAACTGGACGGCTTGGCCTTCCTTCAGGCCCATTGCCTCTTTCAACTCTTGGACTGGCTGTCCAAAGATCTGCCGATGCTGCTGGCCCATCTCCCCCTGCAGGAAGGCGGTCTTGGCGTCGGCTTTGAGAAAGCCCCATTGCTTGTGGGTGCACATCGCAAGCATCAACTGTCGCCCCCTCCTTGACAAAGTCGGTGACCTAACGGAGACCAGGCCGACGTCGGGATCTGTGAATCCCAAAACCACGAGGCGGGCTTTCGCCTTGATCATGCCAGGTGTGTCCGTTTGCTTGAACACGAGGACCCACCTCATGCGCATGAGCCTCTCTGCAGGCACTTTGCCAATGGCTGCACGGCAAACTTCAGAAGCCAACCAGTCATTGATCTCTAGGACCTTTGCTTCTCGCATGGCTTGCTTCTGGACGTTGTTGAGCTTTTGCCAGCTGACTTCAACTCCCTTGGCCATCTTCTTTGCCACAAATTTGGAAGGGTCTTTGACAATCGACCTCCATTCCGCCTCCGTCTTGGGCTCGGGGATGGTGACGGCAAAGACATAGTCCTCGAAGTCTTCGGCCAAGAAAAGCTCTTCCATGTTGAGCTCCTCATCCATATAGTCAGCTTGTTCTTCCAGAGGGCTTGGTGTCCGCGGAGCTGGAATGTCTTGTTCTCCGGTCGTGGCTTCATAGCCTCGCAGCTCCTGCTGGCGAAGGAAATCTTGCCTCTGCACATGATACGGCCTCTCCATTCTCTCATGGCGAGCTCGGGCACGAAGAAAAGGTGCATGTTGAAATAGTGGTCCTTGTTCTCCAGAGCCCATAGGAAAGTGGTGCTGGTCCGCCATCAGCCTCTGTGCGTCAAGATCTTCTCGGATCTCATGGCGAGGATCTGGTGGTGCTTCAGGTGCCAAGAAGGGCTCGTCTGAGCCTCGTCCAGGTTCATGATGCCCCGTTGGTGATGGCTCTGAGTGCCCCGTTGGTGATGGCTCGAAGATCTCAGCATCTTCTTCCTCTCTTGGTCTCTCTTGTGAAGCCGGTCTCTTCCTTGATGCAAGCTCGTCAGGCTTCAGATTGCCCGTTCGTTGTCGTAGGGCTGCACTCATCTGTTGCCGCTGAGTCATGGTGTCATCATCGAACTCGCCCTTGGCAATGATGTCGGTGAGGTCGTTGAAGGTCCAGGGCGTTGCCAACGGCGTGTGACTCTCTGCGATCACTCTTTCTCTCTCAGAAGCAAAGCGCAACTGGCTCGCGTGCACCCGCTTCAATCTTCCACTTGCGATGATCCAAGCCACCAGATGAGGTTGTCGAACTTGTCCCTCATAGCTGGTCTTTGTTTCGAGAGCCAGGATGCGAGCCGGTCCATACCAGCGTGCAACACGTCTGCGAGGGATGTCCAGGAGATGATGAGATCTCTCCCGCTTGTCAGCTGGTGGTTGGTATCTCTTGTAGTAGACCAAGTCGCCGGGATGGTAGCGCACCGGTGGCTGCATGCGGGTGTTAGCCGCCTGGTTGATCTTGTGCTGCAGCGTCAACTTGCGATGGAGGTTCTCTGCCTGCAGCCGTTGTTCCAGCCTGTCCTTCATCTTCTCCTCGGTGCTCATCCCAGACCAGTAGGGAAGATCTGGTCCATCATGTAGGCGATCTGCTTCAGTGGGATTTCTTCCAAAGACCCACTGCATTGGCGTGTAGCCGCCGACGTTGCTCATGGTGTTGTGAGCCGCAATCATTGCCCATGTGGCAATCTCTGGTGGAGCCTCGGTCGACCTCAGATGGGCCATGAGCTTTTGCTTCAGGGTGCCAATCAATCTCTCAACTTGGCCGATGGATCCATGGTGCTCGGCAGGAATGGCTTCAATCTCAATGCCATGGCCTTCGGCCCATTCTTCCAGTTGTCGGCCTCGATGAGCACCTTCTTTATCCAGCTTGATGCACTTGGGGTAGCCAAAGTACTGGATCCATCCTTGATGAAGCGCTTGAAGCATCTCTGGTGTGGTTGGGTTCCTGCTGGCAGAGACGGGGTGCTTGAAGAGGAAGTTCGCTGCCCCGTAGGTGGAAGCCTCGTCCACAATCACCTGGAAGTGGAAGGTCTCGTCGCCCACGGTGAACTCCATGTTGTCCAGCTGGATCACTTCCCAGAGCTCAGTGGCTTGCTCCAGGGTCACTGCACGTCGGGCCGGTGGAATGGCAGACTCTTCACAATCCATGCAGTGCAGATTGGCCGCTATCGTCTTGACCATGGTGGAAGCGCCACGGTCGCGTAGCATCTTGATGAAGACTTGTCGTCCTGGGTGGCCAAGCTTCTTGTGGAGGTTCAACAAGTCAGTCGCCACTCGCATCAGCTCTTGGTCCGTGCTCTTGAGGACAGACTCCGGGTCATAGTCAGGCGTCTTCTCAACAGCCATGATCTGGTCCTCCGAGTGCTCGTGGATGAACTTCACCAAGCGTGCCATCTTGTCGCACAGCTGCTTGGGATAGAAAGCTGATAGCCGTGTGCGAGTTCCTCCTTCACAGGGAACGTGAGGTTCTTGGCATTGACATAGCCTCTGAAGCTGCCACACCAGTTGTGAAGTGCTCTTCACTTTCCAGGGCTTCTTCATCAAACCACCTTCTGGCGCACGGAGTCCGTAGGCACAACCATCAAAGACAGCCTCGAAACCTCCGTGTTGGTGCCAGAAGTTCTGGATGCACTGAAACTCCCAAGCCTTGTTGTACTTGGGCCATTCTTGAAAGACTTCGCCGCCTTGCTGGATCTGGAGCTCCATGATGATCACTGCTCTGCTTGCCAGGCGCTTTGAGCGTTGAACCTTCTTTTCCACTTTGGCTCGACCTTCTTCGGTCAGCTTGTTGAGCTCTTGGATGCCAGAAGTTGGCCCACAAGGTAGCGATACCCATAGCACGTCGGGTTTATAGGTCTTCAGGAGCTGGATCACCTTGTTGAAGCCAGACTTCTCGTTGAGGTCGCAGTCGTTGAAGAGACCGCAACGAATTCCAAGGCCTCCTTGAGCTTCCAATGCGGTGGTGAGTCCACTGTCCTCTTCACAGCAAAGTTCCATGATCTTTGGAGGCTTCTTGACCTGATCCGCCATCAGGCTCATCATGATGTCCTCACATCCTTGTTCATACTCTTCAGCCAGGGAGAGCAGGAAGGCGGTGTCGTCTTCGGTCAGCCTTCGGCCTTGGCCGGTGTCGTCACTGTCAGATGATTGGGGCTGCTGACCTTTCTTCTTCCGCTTCTTGCTGCAGGCTGAAGCATCAGGCAAAATGCCTGGTGTTGGCAAAATGCCAGAGTTGGTGAAACTGTTGCCCATTGGGATCCCCAGGTAGTACTCGTCCATCGTCTCCTTGGACTTTATCTTCGGCAGGTTGGGGTCCTCCATGGCAGGCTCTGTTGGTGCGGTAGATGATGAAAAACTGTTCATAGCGCATGCAAAACTTGGTGAGGAACTCTTCAAAGAGGTCGTTCCTCCGGCTGGTGAAACATGAGATCCTTGGAGTCCGGGAGCTGCATGGACGATCTTCTTCACGTGGAACTGGGGCTCACCGGTGTCACTCGACTCCATTCCTCCTCCTCTTCGTTCTCCGGCTGGGTGGCGATCTCGTACTCCTCCGCGGACTTCTCCGGCAATCTTGCACTCTTCTTGCTGCCGGTGTGGGCCATTGTGTGGTCCTGAGCATACCCTGCCGTAGGTGGTGAAGGCGTCATAGGGCGTTCCGGGCTTTGGCCCTGCGAAGACTTCCCTGGGGAGACCTTGGTTGTCTCGGCCGCGAACTTGTCCTTGCGCTGCTGGGTTGACAACCATTGCTCCTTCTGCTTGCGGATGGTCTCCATGCGTTTCTCCAGGGATCTTTCGGCCGCATCCAAGCCTATCTTCTTGTCCTTCAACTCGATGCTGCCCTTGTCCGGCTTCTTCTCCACCAACTGGGTCGTCGTGTCGGCAGCAAGTGGTCCTGCTTGTCGAGTCAGACCGTGTGCGCCGAAGGCCGGCGTGTAGCTCAGGCGAATCCCACACTCCGAGCATCCCACCCATGTTGCATGGGCGTTGCTGCCTGTGTTCGAGCCTCGTCCCGGCATCGCAGGAGTGTGTTCTCCATGGCATGGAGGTCCCGTGGCTCGGGGATCGTCCTTGTTGATCCCCTGTGTGCGGCTGTAGTCGAACCGCTCGGAAGCTGGTGCCACAGGCTTCTTCTTCTCCTTCGCCTTGGGCGCCATGGGCTCGTGAGGCGTCGTTCACGAGGGCGGTCAGGATGTCATCCCGCATCCCTTGATCAGCTTGTGCCAAAGGGCGTCGGAGGTGATCATGATGATCAAGCATGTAAGCAGCTTCAAGATCTTCACCTGACTCAAGACCTTCTGCCTCACTGCACTTCTCAACCACAAGAGCTTGTTCAAGGGTGTGTGGAGACTCAAAACTCATGCACAGCTCTGGGTGCAGGTGGTCCAACATGTCGTGGGAGGCCTGAGAAGTAACATCTTCATGGTCCATGGGAAAGACTGCGCACCGAGGACTGCTCACCTTATATGCCGCACGAGGTCGTGGTGCATGTTGCTCCAAAGGCTGGCCCATGGTGAGCCAGTCAGTGCGAAGGTCAACAAGAAGATGTCCCGCCTTGCTCTTTCCAAGTGGGATCTTGAGGTCAGGTGCCACATTGGACAAAACCATCCAACGGCCGCTCACATCGATCACCGCGCCAAGGCGATCCAAGGTGCGCATGCCAATTAAGATCGGCACCTTCTCGGCGTCGAGGGTGAACATGCCAAGCATCACGCTGTTCTCGCCGAGCTTCTGCGGTACCAGCACAAAGGATTCGCTGTACTTGATGCCACCATTTCCAAAGCGAAAGGGTTTGACCACGTTCGGGCCGGTGAAGACTTTGATGCCTTCTTCCCATCCTTGAGCTTGATGTCGCTGCCACATCAGCTTCTCCAGGGCCTCAAGGGATCCAACCGTCTCAGTGGCTCCCAGGTCCAGGACGCCATAGCCCGAGGTATCACCCGTGATCACTTCATTCGTGGCCATGCCAATGAAGTCGAGGTCCAGCGGGCTTGGGGTCATGGCCTCCACCCAAAAGGTTCCTTTGCGAAAACCTTTTCCAGTCGTAGGTGAGCTGCTGGTGCTGCGCTTCGGGCAATTGCGGAAACCATGTGACTTGTCCCCGCAGATGAAGCATCCGGTCGAAGTTGCCTCAGCTGACAGCACTGTCTCATTGGCCATGAAGGTGGCCGGCAAGGAACTGCTTGGTGAAGAAGAGGAAATAGGTGAACGCCCCTTGCCTTTCTTGCCTTTAGATTTTCCTTTGCCCTTCTTGCCCTTGAGCAGGTGAGGTGGATAGAAGCCTCTGCTCTTCCCCTTTGCTCGTTGGAACTGCCTGCTCTGCAAGAAGGTCTTGGCTTTGTTCTCATAGACTGAGTAGGCCTCCTCAAGCTCTTTGTTCTCCTCGGCGGTCAAGTCGTCGAAGTAGCCATCATCGCAGGCCCAGAAGGCTCCGTGGCCATCTGTCTCATACCACTCGCCGGACCAGTCCATGGTGTAGCCATGCCAACCATCACCTTCACGAGTCCAGTAGATCTCAGGATCTTCCTCCATAGAGTTCTCCATGGGTCCAGGATCATATACTTCAGGAGGTAGTTGATGACCAACCCAATGCACTTCGGCAGTCAGTTCATCCATCGTGGTCTCGTCCTGGTTCACCAGAAGACCCCAGGAGCCAGCCTCTTCCACCCAGTAGGTGCGTCGCTTCGATGGATGTCTTGTAGAATCTGCCTGTAGGAGTTCTTCTTCTTGATCTCGAAGCGCCGTCTCGATGTCACGGAAGGTGAGGCTGTTCTGGACACTGGCCTGGACAGACAACCTGCTGGCTGCACTCAAGTTCGCTCGTCGTAGCAGTAGCCAGCCAAGGACTTCATCAGGTAGGACTTGGATGTCCTCAACTTCCAGTTCATCCCAAGGAAGATCTTCTCCAGGTGAGGAGGTGTCATTGTCAGAGTCCTCCCAATGGCGTCGTTCACGTCGCCATTGTCGCCATTCTTCAGCTGTCCAACCATCATCCTGGTGCCAAGGATCATCATGAGGATCCTCTGGTGACGTTTGCTCTGCACCATCGTCTCCGGTTTCATCTTGAGGTCGGGGATCTGGTGCTCGTCCAGTAGGCGATGAGGGTGATGCCTGAGAGACTGCTGCTGCTGCTCTAGTAGTAGGCGATGAGGGCGAAGTAGGTGGTCGGCTCGGTGGTTCAGCCTGAGGTTCTGACATGGCGCTCCCTGTCACAGGTGTTCCCAAAGTTGTCACAGGAGGTTTCTTCTGCTGTCGAGCCCTGACCACTGCCCTTTGTACCTTGCGGTAGGCCTCCAGGACATAGGATGACCATTGGCTCATCGGCATTCCCAATGGTCTTCTCAACCTGATCAACAGGTCCTCCAAGCGAGCTCCAGCGTCAGGGACCGCTGTCCGGCATAGCCGGCTTTGCAAGAACTTCAGGAGATACTTGGTGCCGTTCTTCTTGCTCAGCTTGGAGTGTTCCAGGTCAGGGGTGACCGACCATGCACGGCCAGTCAGCCTGGATGCTAAGTCAGGTGCCAGGTATTTCTTCTTTCGGTCCGGTGTCTTCTCCCATTGCAAGCGGACCTTTCGGGCGTAGTCGCCCCAGGTGGTGGGATCTCCGTCCCAGGTGACCACCACCTCTTTGGCCGAGATGGTTGCCATCGAGGATTTCCGTCAAGGAGTCGAGGATGTAGCCCAGCGCCGCGAGTAGAGCTCGAGGTCGAAGGGAGGTGCCCAGCCGCCGCCGCCAGGGAAGTTCACGAGGAGGGGTTCAATGAAGTAGTGACTTTCCAAGGTCCCAGGAGATGGCAATCGCCAGAGGCTCCGCTACCAATGTCGGTAGCCGTGTGACCTTTGAAGGTGAAAGGTTTCCAACCAAAGCAAAGGCTACGCTCAGGTAGCAGTTGTTTTCCGCACACCAACGCCCGTCCACGGGCGTAGTCGTCTTCTGGCCGTTTAGGCCGCAAGGTGCCACAGCTATGGCGGCACGTGCGCAAACGGTAGCCGCGGATGGCCTCGTGAGGCCAAAAGGCTGAAGGGTGCCCTTGAACCGATAGGTTCATGGAAGTCGCACGTGTCCTTCACTGACCGGAAGCGAAACACATATGTTTAGCTGAGTTGTTCACATTAATAGTCATTGTACTATACAATTATCAAACTGTGAAGGCCTTCAGAGTGTAGCTTGAAGCCAGGGAGATGACATTTGATGACATGCAAGGCTATATTGGGTATGCTTCTTTGTACGGTCATAATGCGGGACGTTCCCGTGAGCAGGCTTGCCGAACATCTATAGTAAGGAATTGAAGAATGTTGCCTCATAGTGCCCCAACAGGATGAATTTGCATTTTCTGGCCAACTGCGACTTCACAATCTTTAGTCTGTTGGCCAACTGAGTATTCCTGAAACTGATTCAGAGGGCAACTCTCTTCACCCTCATCTGCATAAGCGCCAAACCGTGCGCCTGATTCAGAAATGCAAACTTCAACGCCCTGGAGGCATCAAGGCGGGCCAATGGCGAGCGTTCCATGAGTCCCTCCAGCAATTCTTTCCTCGAAAGGAGCTCAAAGGGAGAGGGATTACTGGTTGGTGATTTCATCACGAGGATGAAAGTAGAAGTAGTATGAAGTATAAGTAGTGTAGTTGGCCCACCGCCCGCAACAGCAAATGGTGTTGATAAACTTGAAAATTTATCTTCAGTTTTACAACATTGTCATCGATGTATGCTGTATGGATGCTGTCATTGATTAGTCCTGTGTTTAAAAATGGGGGTGGGGGTTGGGTCGTCCTGGAATGAGGACGCGGATATCATGTGGAGAACAGTTCATAAAATATAATAGAATAATATTTGGTTTCGCACATGTCCATCGAGTGTGAAGGCCGAAGGTCACAGAGTGCCTGACCCAGCTTTGACTCACATCATCTTTCAATTTGTTTTCCGACAGTTTGTGGCACCTGCAAACCCAAAAGAGTTCTACTCAGCTTTGCAAAAATGCTGAAAGCACACGGGCCTGAAAGAAGAAGAATGAACGGAGCAGCTTTGGTAACTATGCTTTTCACACCTGATGCAAACCTCCATTCATTCCTGCGGTCCTGATCCAAAAAAGACAGGTGATTACATAACTCTAGAAGTCAAAACCTTTGACAGTTTTCAGCAACTTTACTTGACTTGTTTTGTGTGAATTCTGCTGGACTGGGAAGCGCACATGACAAATCTTCCCAAATGGAAATACGCTGTTCAACACTTGCAATCCTTGAACGAATCTTCCCCAATGGAATTACGTATAATCCAAGACTCAAAGATAGAAGATATTCCCGAATATTCAGAATTTCCATATTCTATTTGAAACTGCTTCTGGCGCGCGCGAAAACAAAAATCAAATAGAAGAAAAGGGCTTCGCCGGAGCATAAAAGAGGTGTTATATCATGTTTTATAGCTACTTTTGCCAAAACCACTAAATAGCCTAATATCTAATATCTTCTATTTGAAACGTGTCCGGTGAGGTACATCTTCTATTTGAAATGCTTGTTTTGGATCTTCTATTTGATTTCATTTTTGGTCCATGCAGATTGTTTCCTTCCTCGCCGGTCCGTTGTTTCTTCACTGCAGATGGCATCTCTGGGAAATATGCAACCATTGATGAATAGATCTGATAGATAGATACATAGATAGATACATAGTCACAACAAAACAGCAAGAATATCAAGAAACATGGCCTATTTGGGAAAGTCCCTCTCATGAGACCCCAAATGGGACTGATCTTAGGGATAATTATTGCAGGGCCTGATCTTCTTAACTTTGATTATCTTTATAGGGTGGTTCAAGCTCCAACTGGAACACTTGGCTGAGTTTGCTGTCGTTCCCGACTGGGAAGGTCTGCTTGGTGCAGGCATGATTCAGAGCAAAGCTCTGAAGACGGACTCATGGGGTAGGAAAAGGCTGCTTTGCACTCACTTTCAAATAGAAGATATTACCATATTATTTTGTAACACCAAAATAATCACATACATTTCTTCTATTTGATGTGCTTGGTTGCTTTGGCAAAATCTTCTATTTGACCTTCATTTGTTGTTCTGCTATCTTGTGGATCTGATCTTCAGAAAAAGCTAAAAAAACTCGAGGTTTTTTACCGTTTTGTACCGGGATTCTGGACATCTTGGGTTGTGCAAGAGGTCCTCTGATTTTTGGGTTTAACTTGCACCGTCTGTCCCGGCTAAATGTTGGACAAAATCATCCAAAACTTCAAGAATTCACTGTAAATACCATTAAATCCTGCTTCTCTTGCAAGACCGTTCAAATAGAAGATATTGGAGTTCAGAGTGCCCAAACACCATCAAAAAAGCATCAACAAAGCACCTCTTGCACAAGGCATTTTCTTCTATTTAAAGTCTTGCTTGGAAACCACCAAAATTGCACCTTCTATTTGAAATATTCGAAACATTTCTTCTATCTTTGTGTCCCGGATTATACATACATGCAAATGAGAAGTATATTTTCAACTCATTTCATACCACGGCCCAACCTAATATGGCGGTCGACCTAGTTGGAGTAGTGGGTCCGTGAAGGTCACGATTCTGGCCGCTCTCACGAGATCAATCACAACCCAATTATCCTGTCCCAAGTAAACGAATGTCTTCGACGATTGTCTAACACTTGTAGAAGTGAAGTCTTGATATGGCAAAAACTTGCAAAACTATGGTATCTTCTCAATTGCATTACACTAGCCTTGGCTACGGCAGCATTGGAGAGATCCAACGGACGCCACCACCCTCCACAAAGCAACGACCAAGGCCAGGCTTCAAATCGTGGCTTGCTTGGAAGTCTTCGTATTGATCCAGCTGGATGCTTTGCTTGATGCAACTGTTGACCGCAGTTCCTACCTCTAGCTCTGAGAATGGCTGCTGCTTCGCCATCATGAAGAATAGCCTCGTTGTAACTATGAGCACGATCGCACCATCAAACCAGGAAAAAAAACAAAACACATAAAAAAATAAATGAAAAAAATATAAACACATCATCCAAGGTACACAGCTCCCACTGCAAAGACATCAGATTGCAGGGTTGGCTCCATGTTCAGTAAAATCTCCGGTGCGGTGTACCCGGGATATCCCAGCTGGATGGGACGACGCTTCAGCTCCGCCAGGCGCGTCGCAAGGCTGAAGTCTGAGTAGGTCGGCTTCAGGTCCTTCGCCCGGCTCCCCGAAGGGCATGGAAGGCCCGGTCGGGCTTCCCAAAATGTGGCGAAGTGATGTTGTTTGAGAAACCTTATATAACATGTTTTTTTAAAATATATATATATGTCTATATAATTACTTGACTATCTTATAAGATCTTATAAGTATTTGGTCCTTTGTGCACAATCTATGTGGGTACTGGGTACCTTCTTTAGAGTCGTGGATTGCTGCACCGTGCTCTGGCGGATCTGGGAGGATCTGTGAATGCGCAAAACCATGCTTGTGGCGACCCGGCGGACCCGACGGACCCGCAGGCTGTGGAGGCTCCCCTCCCCGTCGGTCCGGAGCCAGCTGGATAGTCTCGGGGCTGATGTTCCGATAAAAGATTTCCTGCTGGTGCATGTGGTGCAAGCCTGAGAGGAGGCCCTTCATGATTCCAGCGGCAAAGGGCTCTGAGGCGCTGCTGCTGAACACCTTAATCTCCCCTTCCTCCCTGGCAAAAAAGAAAGCATTCATGAAGAGCTAAGCGGCCGCCATGCCCTACTCCGGCCAAAGCACCCAATCGAACAGATTCTGGGAGGTCAAGGCCATGGCCACTGCACAGCATGGGCCCAAGGGATGGTCTGACACCTGCAAATCATCTTCAAGCAAAGCAGCCCAATGATTCAGGAACCAACATGGGGGTGCAAACGAATGGCTGCAAATGGAGCAAAGCAAACCATCGAATCCATCGATGGCTACCCCACTTGGCAACTATGAGTATTTGCACATAACATGCCCCGTCCAATCGAAAGGCGCGCGAGAACGTGGCCGGAACACCCATGCCTGAAAAACAGAAAGTAACCTGGTGACACTGGAATGGCTTTGAGCAGCAAGTTGAAGCTCCAACTCTTGAGCCACTCGCTTCTCAGCTTGCTGTCCACCGGTTGGAATCACCTTCGCATCAACAAGTCTTTCAATCGACCCGAGCCTACATTCACACCAGGAAACATTAGGAAGTCATCAACCCACAAGCATCCACAAGCCTATTCGGAGTGTCTTTAAGACAGTCCCTTCAGGTCCGAAAATAAGCTTCATGGCCAAAGCTCCAGTTTGAACAAGCTTGACACAACTCCAGCAGCCTTCATATTCACGTTCGATTCAGAGGGATCCTCTGAGGCATGCAGCTGTGCACGATAAACGCTTGACATGCTGCCGCTGGAGAGCTTCGAGCCTGCGGTGCGGGATTGTTCCTAGTAGCGATAGCCCTTTGCTCCTAGTAGCGTCCTTGCTCCTAGTAGTAAGGCCAGGAGCCTCTAGTATCCCCTAGTAACGTCCTAATTGTAACGGCATGGCCTCCAACCTAATGATGGCCTCCAACCTACTAGCGATGGCGACCAATGTTCAGGATTTAGAAAATACCGAGTATCAGCAGGAAACGACATGACCCTGCTTCTGGCTGATGGCCAACATTCACCCACATCGGGCAACTGTCTGTGCATATCGTTCCAGGCCCATGCAGTTAATGGAATAAGACCTTCAGCACCTACAGTAGAATCCCTCTGCCACGCCGGCCTAAAACATAAACAGCAGAAAGGTCATAGCGCACCGCCCCATATTTTGCAAGGATCTTCAGGGCCTCGGCCATTCAGCAGTTTCTGCAACAAGCTCCAGAAATGTGCGAGTATTGTACCATCAGGGACAGCACCTAGCCCAACATATTGTCCCTCCACTCGGCTGCGGGGTGACAGCTACTAAGCTTGAAGATTCTGGAACCCAAAGAACCTCATACAACTAGTCAATTCCCAATTCCCTCTGTCTGCACCAACCACTGCAGGTTCAAAGCCATTGCAGCCTAGGTACCCTGGCTGCATCGCCATGAACCTTCAGGATCCAAACCTCAATTACGAACCGGTCACGTTTGCATGGCCACTCCAAACGACACCCACATCTCGTCCTCCAACGGCATCGCTTTCGCTCTTTCTGCTTTCGCACTGCATCACCGAGAAACATCACAAAGCTGAGAGTACTTTCCAGTGGTGCTGGGTGCCACTGCAAGCCGGTCTTCGGCTAAACCTCGAGTGATGCAGAACGTCGCCAGCACTGTAAGGTGGCCAGAATGTTGGCTGTTGTGAATGGGTTCAGGTCATGGCCCACACACAGAACCCCTCTTGCTACTCTTGCATGTCCAAGCAGCAAATGTGACACAACAGCAGTGGCAGCTCAAATATCGGCTCTGCACCTGCCAAAGGCTGACTTTGAAAGACTCCGTGCAAATAGATTCCAACCGCACAAACGATATGGATCAGCCTGCCTGCTGGAGAATTCGGAACCACGACCAATTTGGAGGATGCAATTCGAACTTGTGGACCTTGGGCACCTTAGCGGAGGCATCTTGCCCGGATTTTGATCTGCCTCCAGCTTCAGAATATTGGGGCACAGCAACCCTGGCGAAATCAGCCCGAATGTTTTCACTGACATCTTCCCATGTTCATTGTGATTGCAGCCTGGGCGCTGCCTATGTCTCGGGACAAATGCTGAGCAACCAGGAGAGCCTGTTGTAGAATCTGCAGATTTCCACCACCTCCTCACCAAGCAATTTTCACAATTCTATTGGGTGTGAGATTCGGGCCAGGATGATATATATATATATCAGAGGTCAGAATCAAACATATCACAAGTCATAATAATATACATGTATATATGTATATATAATGTCATACTGTACAATATCACAAAAAGGCACGAAGGGCTCAAACCCTGAAGGCACAAAGTGCCTGGAATAGCTTGGCTCAGCTCATCTGCCCGCAGGGCCATAGGGAGCTTGGAGGCCATGTGCACCTGAACGGGGCAAAAGTCGAAGAGGCTAGGCGGCTAGGCATCAATGAAAAACCATGACTGAAGCATCAGTAAAACATTATCCACAGCCAAACTCCTCTGCCTAACGGGCCTAACCCAAAGACCAGGACAAAGGTGTTGCCAAGGGGCAGGGTCGAGTTCAAGGGCCGGTACTCTTTCATCGGCCGACATCGGTCTGGAGGTCTGTGACCCTCACAAAGGGGCCAACTAAACTCCTTTTAAAAAAACGGTCCCAAGAGCATGGGGCCAAGCGGCTGCGAGCGGTGTCTGGCTGTCATGCCACATGCTAGGAACAGTGAGTGAGGCAACAGCGGAACAATGAGAAATAATAAACTATATAATCTGATACTTGTAGGAGCGATGCGTTCATCTTCAAGGGAATTCCACCAAATCAGTCAGGCTAAGTCTATTCGCAATCTGCGCCACACAACCTAAACGTCAAATCTCCCTTCCGCCTGGACCACAGGTGGCCCCGAAGTGCGCCAGCAGAAAAACGCCTTCGTCCGCCTGTGGGGCTCGTTCAAAGGAATTCAACCGGCAACAAAACTGAAAGCGATGGCCTCCAACCTACTGGCAGCCTCCCCCTAATAGCACCCTAAGGGTGCAACATCTCCTCTTCCTCGTCCTCCGGGCCGGCCTGAGACCCTGAGAGCCTTGGCCGGGGCCGGTTTTCCGCATGCACCAACGAGGCCACAGGGCCTCGGACGCACAACGAGAACAACGAGAACTGAACCTCCTGCTGTGGTAACTCGCCAGAATGCTTGAATGCTTGGAGGAAAGGAAACAGTTGGAATTTGCATACGAATTTGCATGCCAACTTGGTCTGCACACTCTTGGCCGTCTGTCTCTAATTATGTCCATCCTGTGGCCAACAATTCATCTTCTGCTATGCTGCTAATTATGCTTTGCGGCAAATGGTGGCTGTGATCTGCCGAAAAGCACCTCCAACACCAAACAAAGGTAACCGCATGTGCCAAGCGGCTGATATCCACCACAGGCCGAGCTGCAAACCTGATTTTTTCCGTCCCAGGTGCCACAAGGGCTGGGACTCTGATACACTGGAAGTTCTTGCTTTTCATCAAACCCCAAACCCCATGCGCAGTACTCTGCTGATCTGTCCCAGGCGCGCTGCGAGCACCACAGCCTCGGTGGACGAGTGCAAAAGCATTTGCTGGAGCTCTCCTCATTCTGCTTATTTGATCTAAGACAGGCCCGAACAGCAAACTTACAAAGCACCCTCACCTGCTGGATCTTTGAAGTATGTGTTGCTTCTAAGGTTGTTGCAAGCCAACAACATTTAGGATTCAAAATGGTTCAAGGATTCTCCTTTCATAAACCTTTCTGCTCCTTTGCATGGTCACACCTCTCTCACTCCGCTGAGGAGGCCGCATCACAGGAGCCAGGCTCAAAGAGGTGTTGATCCTGCGCGGAACGAACTTGGAGCAATGCAAACACCTATGTAAACCCTGTAAGGATCATGTTCCTGTCAATCTTCTGCCATAAATTATCACAATTGATTCAAGTCTCTGGCAACATGATTTTGTTGCAAGCATCATGACTGCAAACTGCCTTAATCATCCCCGTCGCCTCAGCTCCCAGCACCTGCAAGCGCTCACCATGCTGCTGAACAGCATCACGGGTTTCCTGCCCCACCGAGGCTCATGATCATGATTCATGGTGGGCACAAGGCAACTCTGCATTTAGGAAACCCAAAACACTACCCAAAACCCCGGGACAAGGAGGAGAAAACCAAACTCTTGGCAAAGAATTTGGCCAACTTTGAACAGTTGACGGCATGCATTGGATTCATCTGTAATTATCCATCTCTCTCTCTCTCTCTCTGCCCTCACCTCGATGATTGCAGCACTCATCCGGAGCAAAGCCACGCTCAAAGGCTGAGGCATCTGTGAAGCGTAGGGCTCAGGCAGAGTCAAAAGCCTCGATTAGAATCAAATCTTGTCTCCAGCGTGTCATTAGAAGCCGTTTGTTGGACAAAGTCGGCGTGATTCTTCGTGAATCGATCTGATACTACTCTTCTTCCTTCTGGGATCTTCTGTGTTCGTCAAAGGAGATCTGCAAAATACTCTGCGGTCTCTCGATCTAAGGTAATTATGGCATCGAGTGGACATGCTCTACTGTGTCAGCCGAGTCACTGCAATGCCAACTCCAACCTCATTGCGACGCAATTGTGGCCTTCCGGAAACGGTTGTTGTTGCTCTGTGGCTAAGCCCGGGGCGTATGAGGCTCATGCCCGAGGAAACATATGCGAAAACCTCCTGCAGCTTCGAACTCTGTGAGCGTCGCTAGCAGCTCCTGACACCAAGAACACATCAGCCAACAAATAAAGAGATGTTAATTAACATCAATTAACTATGATGCGGGTACCCCGTTCCCATTAAAGATTGTCCCGTCAATCCTTCCAGGCCACGCCAGAGTCCACAGGCGTCGCGGCATGAGCACTCCACGGCAGGAGCGCCCAGCGCCACAGGCGCCACATGCCTCACCATAGTTCCGGCTAGCAAAAAGGGCATGGATTTTCACCAAGGAAAAGAATGCACTGTTTGGGTGTAACTGTCGTTTCTGTCTGCCGCAAGTTCTTGCATATTTTTCCCTGTGCTTAGGTAATTTCTCTACAGGACCAATTACTAAATACTCCGATTTAACTGGTTTAACTCACCATCAACTGCATCTCACCCAAAGTCCAGGCCTTTGTCAACATTCACCACACATCCAAAGAACTGGTGAGAGTGAGAGAAGCATCGCGTCAGCGTGGGAAATTGTATTCTTAGTTCAGTTTCTCAGCAATAAATTGGCTGAAGTGTGAATGAAAGGAATACCTTCGCTGACATCTGTTGACGGTTCATGTTCTACGCGCTCAGTGACATTGTTGAAAGACATACTGTAAATTACACTAATTACTAGTACTTGCTAAGTCGGACTTGGCTTGACTTGCTTGGACTTCTTGATTTGAACCAGCTCGGAGTGGCGGCGTTGTGCTGCTTGCTCTTCTTCGTCTTTGGCAGGTTCTCCGGTTCCCTCCCCAGAAAGGCGGCCAGAAATGTCCTATCGATGAATGGTTGTGAATCAGCAGTCCTGTAAACAAAAAACTTGCTTTGTGCCTTTGTCGGAACTTCACCACGACGTGTCAAAGGGGTCCACACATCCCGCGACAACGTGCCACCAGGCATGCATCTGCATCATCATGCATCTATGGCTGGGGTGCGGCTTCTTTAAACACATTTCTGATTGAAATTTTGCCACGGACCTCGCTGAATGTTGGTCAAAAACCAATCATATCACAAGGCCAATCCAGTGGACCCCAGCAATCTGATCAATCTTGGTTGGGATGTGGCACTTCTTGAATGTACACGCCCCATGCTACTAGGAGCAAGGACGCTACTAGGGGCTCCTGGCCTTACTACTAGGAGCAAGCACGCTACTAGGTCCGATCTTCTGGGATCCACCGGCGCCCTTCACCGGACCAGCGCGGACCGGTGACCGCGATCAGTGCCGGAAGGAGCGCATCAGCTCCGGCGGCGCCTGCTGCGGAGCAAAGTAACGGCGGCAAACCTCCGAGGCGGTGGTGAACTCCGCGAGGTCCTGGCGGAGAATGAAGTGCCAGTGAATTGAATCAAACAAAACACACACTTGGATGGTTGCTCGCAAGAGCTAGGATCAGTATGAAGTCCCACTTTAGGTGCAGTAGACCTTGACTGGGAAAGAATGCAAAAACCGAAAGGTGAAGAGGTCCGCGGACTTGGAATTGTTTTTTCAATGTTGGATAACACTTGGTATGCTGAGCAGTGACTTAAAATTCCCGCAGGTACGTCAGAGTGGCCAAATCTGATGTCACCAGATCAAATGGGCGTCTTCGTTGGTAGCGGTCCCAAATGATCTGCCGCTACCCCTGCCTTGTTGAAATTCCTTTGGAACAGGTGTGGACACACACACAAGTGTGACACACATCTAAAGCAAATAGTACAAGTATATATAGATGCATAAGATTGTATATGTGTATACACGCACTCTGGACTACACACTAGACTCTAGACCTTAAACATGTACATATATTTGTATAAATATATTTATATACACAGTCTCACAGTCATATAACGTCACACACACATATATATATACATACACATAATATAACAGTAGTTGTATAACTGCGACTTCGGGTCATTTAGAATTTGTGGACTTCTATAATCTTATATACACCATCTGGTGTGCTGACCAAATACATCCTACGACATTGCCCGGGAGGCCAGGGATCAGTCCTGGTAATGATGCAACATTGGACAAACCGATCTCCAGAAAGACTCGAACATCTGCGGGGCATCCACTAGAAGAATCCGCGCAAAGCGTCGAGGATAGTAGTTGTGGATGACATCGACCATGAAGCAAACAAACTCTAAATCTGCTTGTAGCGGGGAGAAGCCGTTGAGATCTATAACAGCAATGGCTTGCTCTATCTCCATCTGCTCCTCCGGAGCTCCAGAAGGCTCTAAGGTGCGGAGCTTGTCAAGGACCCGCTCCATGTACCATGCACACATACAGCAGCTCTCTTTAAAGCGCCGTTCCAGCACATTATGTCGGTTGGCAACCACCACCAGCACTGGACGCCCAGCAATGTCATGGTGTGTGTGAAGGTATGCCTTTCTTGAGCGCATTTCTTTCATGAAAAGCTCTGGACCCAACTTTTCCACACTGAAGTCCTGCCTCCATTTCAAACACTTCAGCAGCTTCTCTGCGGCTTCGCCCACATCCAGCTTGCGATCCCTCAAGAACCACCAGAGTAAAGCACGATTTTCGCAAGCCGGGCGACCCCTCCACTTCAAGCTTCTTGGAATCTGCTTCTGCAACTGTCTGACAGCTTCCTCAGCACTAAGCTGGTCCACTGCCCCAGCATCTACTATTGAGATCTGAGAGCTTCCCACTCCTCAAGGTTCAATGATGTTTGGGGTGGAAGCTGGTTTCCCTCATGCAACTGCACAACACTCGTAACTATTGTAATATGTGTGAGATATACTGTGGCACCTACTGTGACTTGAAACATCGTGAGGTTTCATTCGGGGGGTTCAAGCGTGGAATAACTTCGTTTGTCACCTTTGAATGCTTTTGACAAAATTGGCTCATCAGTTCTGCCCAGCCTACCAGTGACGCCCCGCGAG